TAAATGTTATTTTTGGTTTACTTCCTGTAAAAATATTCTTTAAAAAAAGTGAAAACGATACCCACCAAAGAAAAAGTTGGAATAAAGATAAAAAAAAGTTGCGAGATCCTCTATTTATTTTCCAAAAAACAAAAATTGGCCAATGAAAAATCATCGACGATCATCAGTTACGTCATTCGTAAATAATAAAAGAATGACGTCATTTACTAATTAACAGACCATAATCCAGAATGAAAATTTGTTAATTATTATGCTTAATACTAAAAAATACAACTAGCTTTAAATAATAACTTAAAATTTATATATTATAAAATTTGAATCGGGCGTCGTGAATTTTTTATTATTATCAATATGTTAAGATGATGATTTAAGCCAAAAATTTAAACAAAATACAAATTTATTTGAAAATTTTATGGAAATCACAAAAATTACTAAATAAAAGTGATGAAATGAAATCATTAGTAGTAATCGTCAGATAACCTATTCCAAACAGAAAAAATCATTTAGCTATAAATTGTGCAACATTTCTAACGATCACTTCTTCTCACAAAAATGCTTTTTGTTCGTTGATTTGTGTATATATTTATCTGAATTACAATTGTTCCACTCGTTGCTTGGATCGCACTCATAGTTAGTTGCTGGGCTTGTAGTAAGTTGACTTTATTAGAGTAAAATAATCTAAGGCCTCTTCTTACCTTTTTTATTATAGTTATTCTTTTTATAATCAACTTTGTTGACTAGAAGTTGGAGGTTAAAGACTTTTTTTAACCGGTTAAAATAGATAAATTTAAATCAGGCCGAAATTCAATTTCCGGCCAGAATTAAGATTTTTATGATTGCAAAGTATTGTCTAACTCTGGCCAAATTTAAAGTACTGACCAAAGTAATTTTTGACCGGTTCCAACCTCTATTGTCGACTTAAGGGTGATAAATTACTCTTATAAGATCTGCTTACGTGATTCCGTAATAAAATACCAGCAGATTATAGATTTTCAAATTGTTTTCATCGTACATTGTCAACATGTCTAAACTTCTAAAACCTTTAAAGCCTATAACCAACAAATAGATATTGATAATTTAGACCACGACCGCACGTATACTCTGAATAATCAGCAACCAGCTAAAAAACCGTACTTTGAAAATTGACGGAAAACCTTTCAACCTTTTGAACTTGACGAAGACGGAAAGATAATTCCAATGCCACAAGCAGTTATCATATGGAAGCTGTTGTTGCGGAAATCTCCAGGCAACTTTGTAGCTGGAATCTTTATACTCGTCAGGACGGTGTCGTTACTACCTCTCAAGGAAGGTTCAATTTCCAAACTACAGATGGTAGAAACATTAGGGCGCCGGATGTTCCATTCACGCCGAAGACACATAGCATATCGTAATTTGACACTACAATAACTCAAAGGGCCCAAATGAAACAGGCATCATTATACTATGGAACTATGTTCCTATTAAACAAGTCAATGAATCCGATGATGATGAAAAAAATATTGTCGAACATATATATGATCTACCACAAATTAGGTTGCTCCTAGATTTGTAGGCGAGGTCGGGAATATCGGAACTAATATAACCAGTTCAATCTTTATAGAAAAACAAAATATTTT